CAGGATAGTTAATTCAGGGCCTGTGAGATTGCTAAGGCATCTTGTCAGAACATTAAATAATCACACAATGTCATGAGGGAATATCTAATTAGGAGCTCCATTTCTCGAGGGTCTGAGTACCTGTTACAATGTTCTGAGAACCCTTAATTCCCACTGACAAGAGAGCCAGCTTAGGGTGTTCCCAGCAGGAATTTAATAGGATTGTGCCCTTACTTCATTTGGCCTGTGTAAGTCCAGGCCAGTCAGGTGAAGAGACAGTAATCAAACGCGACAAGATAATGACAAATAGGGTTACATCCCAGCAGGCATGTTATTACTTGCAGATGATGAAACATACCCACATGTGAAGTCTCTGTAAAAAATAGGGACAGATTTAAGAATGGACTCTTAGGGGTTAAATTTGTGCCTTTGAGAAAGATCTGTCTGTATTCAACCCATGCAAAAAGATCTGTAAAAGGCAAAATGAATTCTTTATCACCCCAGACTGTCATCCTGTGTGAACAAGTGACAGAGTTTCCATTGGCAGTTTGGTCCCAAGAACTTCAGTGATTTAGACGACTTCATGAGGGCTGTCTGCCTACAAAGGCAAACAACACTTCATACAATGTTGGGGAAGCATAAAGCTTGAGTAGAGTTGGGAAATGTGGATGCTGAATTTTCCTGAGCAGCATTCTTGTGACTTGAGAGATACAACAAAATTTGAGGTGGACAGATGAAGACTTATCAGTAAGACTTTTCCCCCCTTCTGGTATGCCTGCAGTTATATAAAGGAGAATAATGTTAAATGCAGCCAGAAGGGAATAAACATTGGATTTTGGCTTATGATGCTTCTTTTAGTCAGAGATGAAGGTAGAAATAGTATTCTTTTTTGTCGTGAAGTGTTACAAAAGGACTAAATGAGTAAGGAACAGGGCATTATGTTAAGCACTTTTGGGAGAGTGAAAAGTTAAAAATCTATCTTTCTGCTGTCAGGCTCTTAAGTAAGGAATGATGCATTAGACCACATGATTTTATTAGATTTGTTGCTAAACCAGAGCTGCGGTGCTGTTCCTTGAACAGAATTACAGGCTTCATTTGAAGAGAGATGCAAAGCACACACATCATTCTGGAGTAGATCAGCACAAGCATTTTCTATATCATGAGTAATGTTTACTGGAAGAAATCAAATTACTGTTACACAGACCATCTGTTTTCTTTGCATGCAATCATGTAAGTGTTTTAGGACAAGCCATCCTTTTTAATCAATTGTAAATCTCTTATCGGAAAGCAGTGTTTTGTGTAATAAAATCTATTTTTATGATAAATGTAAGAGTTTTAAATACTGGTTTCTTCTGCATAAATATATATTATGTTATGAACATATTGTTCATAACATAAAGAGTAGGGGTGTACAGCATTAGTTATTATCTGTCAAGAACTTAATTTTAGGGCTTTTTGCAGAGCCATTTTTGGATATTTGTTGGATCTGCGACGCATTGGTGTTCAACTATTATAACAGATAACATAATGAGTAATACAGTCCATTTATAGCCTGGGAAGTTGCTTCCTATCTGCATTTGGTAAATGTAGTATAAGACAGTCTCTATTTTGTAGTATGACTGCTGCGATAAAAGTGAATACTGTGGAAGATCATTGTCCATTGTCTAAATTCTTACGCTTGGAAATACTGAAGAAAACAAGGCACGGCTTTTTAGAAAATGAGCCTTTGGTGTGACATAATGACATTAAAAGTTGAATTTATGGTCCAAGAAGAAGTCAATGATAGAGCGTGAGATTTACTTCATGTTTGAGAGGATCACATTCATAGATGTACATGGTCCCATTCATTTTAGTGAGTGCTAAACTGAGCTCGCCATTTTATTTTTTCAGCACTGCTGTGCACTTCCCTGATTCATATATTGTCTATGGGTGCACATAGATTGCTCTTGAATTCAGAGGAATCTGAAGGTCTGCACCTTAAGCAAAGTCTTCTCTGATTTCAAAAGAAGCTGTGTGACTGCAATACCAGAGGTTGCTCCGTATTGCATCAAATGACCCTGAAATAAAGAAACAAGAACTGTAAGTAACGCAATTGGAAAGTCCCTGAGCAGGTTGGCTGTCCTTCTCAATGAGGTTGTCAAGCCTGAATTTCATTTGTTCAGACACTTTCAAATCAATGGTATTTTGTCTGGATAATTAAGCTGCTTACTCAGGCTTGAAAAGTGTATGAGGGTAAATTCTTGCACTATTTTGGTAAACATGAAGAGGCAAAGAGGGAGAAACAGATGGACCATGCACCTGGAGAAATGATAGTGCCTACAGTCTGGTGCCATCCCGTGGTAGAGTGGAAGTTTTCTGCCCAGGGGAACATCACATGAAATGAAGGGCCCCTATAAGTCCTTTTGTGAAGGCTGGACTAATGACCTGTGTATTGCCAGTTATTAGAATATCTCGTGAACTGACAGTATGTGGCACAGGGAAAGCTGCCTACCAAACCAGACTCAACAATCCTAACACTTACCTAGACTTGATCAGTCAAAAATCTGCTGAGAACTAGGTCATCAGTGATTTTTTTTTTTTTGTCAGTCTGCACTAATTCAGTAAAAGGAAAAAAGCAGAACAAGGTGAATGGCTTACAAAATCATATAGGTAATAGAGAGTGAAAGATAAAAATCAAACTGCAATTAATAGTGGTCTAGTAGTTTCACCCGTTTGCTTTTGTTTTTTTTAATTCAGTATTTTTTCTTTGAAAAAATTATTAAAAATGAGATTTTTTTACTTTTTTTTCCCCCTGGTTTTTCTTCTTACTTTCACCCTTCTTTTATTCAGAGGGAAAAAAACTGCAGGCAAATTAGGTATGTCAGAGAAACGCAGCATTGTGTTGGTTAGAACAGACCTCTGGAGGGCATCAACAGTGTCCTAGCCCAGGCAAGAAAAAATTACATAACATCACTCACAGCCACACTCAGCTGAATTTGGAGGATGGACATTCACCAGCCTTTCCTAACAACCTATTCTTCAGTCATCCTTTTGTTTCCCTAGATGCTCATCTGGTTGCTTCTTGTGTTCCTCAGTGTTCCTCATCCATTTCAAATCCAGCTGAGCTCTGGCTTCCCCAATTTCATCCAAGCAGGCCAGGACGA